TTGGGGAGGGGGGTGGCAGCAGGGGGTTGGGGGCTTTAACCCTGAGTTGCCCGCACACCATGACCTGTGCACCCTCTACCTGCTCCCTCCAAGCCTCACAGTGGCTGCTGCTGTCAGCCCCTGGCACCAGCATGCCACCCAGACCTGCCCGCGCCCCCGGACAAGCCCGCTCACCAGACACTCGATCCACGCTGTACATCCTCTCCAGCTTCTTTCGGGGCCCAGAGGCCTCGGGCAGGGGTGCCTGATCCAGCCCAAAGGCCCGAGGGGAGGGGCCGGGGGCCAGCTGGGCACATCCGGGACACTCTTTGGAACCCTGGCGGCTGCCTGCCCAGCTCTGGCAGGGCCTGCTGAGGTCCTCGCGGCTGCCTCCTGGGCTGGCACGCAGGGGCTGGCTGTGATGGTGAGGGTGCCGCTCCCGCTGCCGCCGCCCCTTCACCACTGCCAGCTCGATGGTCTCAGCCTCGGGGCCAGGCAGTAAGGCTGGCTCCCCAGAGATGGTGTACACGCGGGGCTGGGGGCCCTCGCCGGCCGGCTTCCTGCTGATGGCCTCTTCGGAGAGGCTGCCCTCGTAACGGCCGTTGGAGACCAGGGAGAGGCGGCGCTTGTTCTGGGGGGCTGGTTGCATCTCGGGGGACCCGTCGTGGCCAGAGTAGGCGTCAGCCAGCAGGTGGTCTGGGGAAAGGCATGGGATGAGCCTGCAGCCCACTGGCCCTGCCTTCCCAGGCTCTCGGCATGCCAAGGCAGGGAACACCCAGCGGGCACCTGGCCTGATGTGAGAAACTGAGGCTGTCCAAACGCTACTCCTGGAAGCCTCCGGGAAAGATGTTTCCAAGCGGCTGCCGGCTCCTCCCACCCGGGCCTGAAGCCCCTTGTATGTGCGTGGGGGCGGGGTGACAAGCTGTGCTACCTGTGCACGACGGGGGGTGGGGGCAGGAACAAGCAGGCCACCCCCCAGCCCACACTCGCACGGTTTGCCTGGTGCCAGCTTCTCCCCTCCCCCTGCCAGCTGGCCCCCAGAGACAGTGGTGCCAGCCCCGGGGGGTGCCAGGAGGCCTGTTGCCATGCCAACGGCCCAGGCGGGGTGGGTGCCATGGTGACGAGTGGTTCAGAGCTCCTCCTGGGGCTCCGGGCCAGGCAGGGCAGGGGGCAGAGGAAGCCGGTGCGGCAGGGCATCGGGGACCACCCGCAGCCGCTGCCCCTCATCGCACCCCGCCCCGGACCGCCTCCTGCGCCCTCACCTGCGCCGTTGTGGTTCTCAGGGTGACTCTGGGACAGGTACTCTCCAAACGCT